GTCTCTCCAACGCCCCTTCTCTCCAAACCTTCCCCCTAATTCTTTAACATCTAACTGCCCCTCTGTTGCTTTGAACCGTAACCCTGTACCTTCGTCTCCTCTTCCTGTAACGTCTCTAACCCCAGCCTTAACCCCGACCCCATTACCTCTCACCCCAATCCCAGCTCCACCTCCTCTCAAAGACTGGACGCCATCTAATTCTCCTATTTCTTTTCCTCATGGGATTTTGTCTCCTCCGTCGCTGCCCCATGCCCCCCTCTCTCCTCTTTCCCTGGCTCATGCACCCCTCTCTCCTCCATCATTACCTCATCCTCTCATTTCCCCAATATCTCTCTCTCATGCACCTCTCTCTCCTTCCTCTGTCTCTCTTACACCACTTTCTCCATCCTATTCCCCCTATCCCTTGTCTCCAAAACATCGCTCTAAGTATCGCGGTAAAGCTTCCGAGTTTCAGTTCTCTGGACCGGAACTACGCCGTTCCGAATCTCATTCGTACACTCAGCGTCGCCGAGTGCCCAGTCCCCTCATCTCCTGCTCGGACCACCCGCAACCTGGACCTCCGCGTCCATCCTCGCTCCCTCTCTTTCTGTCTACGCCGCTCTACAGCTCTCCGTACGAAATACAACCTCCTTTAACGCCCCCATTTGGAGTCGCCCACCAATATTCAGACCAGTTTTTCACGCAAACTTCTCCTCTCTTCCCACTCCCGTCACCTGTGGCTCCTCCTAACCCCGTGCTGGTCTCCAGCTCGCTCTCTCCTACCAACTTCTTGTCTGGAGGCTCCTCCCCATCTTGTATGAGCTACCCGCCCTTAATTCCTCCTTCGCCCAATCAGCCTTTTGTGTCTAAGCCCCTCCCCTACTGGAGCAAATATGATGTTGCTGATTGGCTGACATACCTGAATCTGGCAGAGCACCGGGACCGTTTTCTTGACAACGAGATTGACGGCTCCCACCTGCCATCTCTGACAAAAGAGGACTTCCTGGATCTGGGTGTGAGTCGGGTCGGACATCGTATGAACATTGAGCGTGCGCTTAAGAGACTTACGGACAGGTGAGATAGAAAGATGAGAATAGGAGGGGAAATGAAGGGTAGATTTAGACGAGGGCCTGATGAACAAGCATCAGAAAGCAAACTAGACACAAGTAGTGAGGGGGAAAACTATTAGTTTTTCTGAAACGGAAAAGAAGCCGTTTATATATGTTTTCCTAAAATGTCCACCATTTCATAAAAATTTAGCTCTGCATGGATAATTCTGCCTGCAGCTTTACTCAACAATAAATAAATATTCTGCCCTTGATGTTCATGTATGCTTTAGATGATATTTATTAAAAGAAGTTTAGTTAAGTAAGGAAGACTTCATTCGATCATAAAACCCATTTCCTCTCTAGACTGTGACCTTCATGTATACATATTCTATTTCACACTGCCAGTCAGAGGTTTGGAAATATCTATTCATTCTTTATTATTAACATTTTCCACATTTTAGAGTAATAGTAAAGTATGAAAACTAAGAAATAATACCAATGGAAACATTTCTGCTATGTAGTGACCAAACAATGTTAAATCCCAACCATTTCCATGACACTTCTGAAGGAGTTCTCATGTCTCCTTGTTTTTTTGTGAACTAATTTTTAGTTTGTAGTTTTTAAGAACGTATGCACAACCCTTTAGATCAAAAGATCATGAGTGGTCGAGTGTAAACCTTTGTCTAGTATAACATAAATGAATTGAGTTATTATTTTTCATATTCCATGTAAGACCACAAACATCATTTAATCGATTGAATCACAGCTCATTCCTTTTCATTAAACATGGCATTTATTTGAAATTGCACAACTGACACGTGCCCTGTAATTACATACTGCACATTTATATAACTTTAATTGCTTTTTGAATGCCAAATTCTTCATCTTAGTTTGTAGATGATCAGTATATCAAGCACTTTCTTTTCTTACCTCATGCTCTGCCTCTTTTTCTTTCTTTCCCCCCTTCCATGTTTTCTAGGCTCTCCTCTGCTTTCTCTGTCTCCACTGTTTCTTCTGAAGGGCAGAACGAACGCATGAGAGATGAGGCGACTCAGAGCTAGAGGAAAGAATTAGAGAGAACCAGTTAGAGGATAGAAAGAAAGAAAGAATAGGGTTAGACAAAAAGCACTTGGGATGAAAGGGAAAGACTTCCACTGAAGGACAGAGATGGGGATGATTGCAATGGAGAAGCGCTATGAAATACTCGAACACTCTCACAGAGAGCAAATGTTTGTCGTCCCAGCTGAAGCCAGACGGCCAAATGTCTTCAGTCTGTCAGAGACAGAGAGAATGTACTTCTTTCATTGTTTTTTGGGATGACGAGATCAAGAGGTTTAATGAATTTTAGTAATATGATATTATTATATTAATACAAATGAGGCTGCTGTGCATATTTTAGCATCATGACGTGCAGGCTTTGATTCATCTGATATGATGATTAAAGTCAACATGAAACCAGAATGACCCCATTTACTTTTTAATACACATTTTTTTGTGCACGTTATTCCAAAGAATGCTTATCAAATGTAATTTTCCATTTTGGCTGATGTCACCAAGCCCTCATATTTTTAACCGCCAGTCATACAGTGACACTTTACACCATCCAATCAATTTGCAATAGATAAAATCAAGTCCTGCCTTACATTTTTTTTTAATTGAATATCTTTTTTTTACTCCGATATGTTGGATGATGAAAGTAAAACGGGTTGTAAACTGTTTCATGTTGACTTTAAGTAATAAAAGCTCTAAAAAAAAATCATCATAATGCCAATAATAACCATATAAGGATTATGTAAGCGTAGGAATGTGTGTGTGTGTGTGTGTGTGTGTGTGTGTATGTGTGAGTGTGTGTATGGAAATGTATGCAGAATTAAAGTATATATATATAGATATAAATATCAGATATTTCTATTGTGTGATATGATGATACATAAGCTCTGCTTAAGAGGTTTGAATAAATTATTCTGTTGTTGAATTTATTCTCATCTCTTTTTGATCAAAATTTACAGAAATGATCACTTTAAATAGTTACACTTTTTCACAATTTTTGCAGCTTTTACAGCCCAATTTTACTAAATTCTTTACTACAGGGATAGTTCACCCAAAAATGGCCCCTCAGGCCATCCAATATGTAGATAGTTTGTTTCTTCATCAGATTTAGAGAAATGTAACATTTCATCACTTGCTCACCAATGGATGCTCTGCAGTGAATGGGTGCCGTCAGAATGAGAGTCCAAACAGCTGATAAAAACATCACAATAATCCACAAGTAATCCACACCACTCCAGTCTACCACTCCCAAAGCTGTGTGTTTGTAAGAAAGAAATCCATCATTAAATTGTTTTTAACTTAAAACGGTCATTTCTGGCCAAAATATGAGTCCATAATCCATAATAATGTTTCCTCCAGAGAAAAAGTCCATCTCCTGTCGTCCTCTCACATCAAAATCCACCCACATATTTGTTTAGAGCTGTTTTGGACTGTTTTTGCTTGTAAATGTTGCTTGATCTGTGCAGATTTCTCTCATGATTCAGACGAGATGACTTTTTCACTGGAGGAAGTGTGATCATTATGGATTCATATTTTAGCTGGAAGGTTTGAAAGTAAAAAAAAAGGTTTGGAGTAAAAAAAAACATCTTAACGATGGATTTATTTCTAACAAACACGCAGCTTTTCACTTCACAAGATGTTAATTGATGGACTGGAGTGGTTGGATTACTTGTGGATTATTGTGATGGCTTTATCAGCTGTTTGGACTCTCATTCTGACGGCACCCATTCACTGCAGAGCATCCATTGTGATGTAATGCTACATTTCTCCAAATCTGACAAAGAAACAATCTCATCTACATCTTGGATGGCCTGAGGGCAGAATCATCAGCTGCTAAATTCATATCTGCGTTTGCTGGCTGGCGCTGAGCCAGATACAGACGCGTTTTTACAGCACTGTGCATTAACCAATCATACACGAGCTTATGAATGCAATGACCAATCAGAGGTGTTCAGATGAGTCATCGCTAAAAAGCCGGTGTTTTCTTCACTCGCTCGCTGCTGAATACCTCTTCATTTACTTACACATATTTGAGAATCAAGATATTTCCTGATATAGTTAACACGTTTGGAAATATTTCGAATAAAAAGGAAAAAATAAATAAAACCTAAGCCTACATCAGTTAAACTGCTATTGCATAACTGATATAGGCCCCCCGCCACGTGCCCCCTCAAAAATCATGAGTGTATGACACCCCTGGTTATGGTCATTCTGAAATGCCTGAGCAAAGTTTGTTGTCAAAGTGTTTCTGTATAATTGTCTTACACGACTGCATTCCCAAACAGTGTCATTGCTCCGAAAGCAATGACACCATTCATTGTGTTTCTTCTGTTCACTCTGAGGCGCAAGTAATTTATATCATATATGAAAATTATTATATTTAGTGGCTTCTCCTTTATTCTTAGTGATATTAGCACCGCTAGGGTGAGTACATTTTCAGCACATTTTAATTTTTGGGTGAACTATATTCCTTTAATTATATGCTTGAACGTTGTTCCATGGAGGTAACAACCATCAGGGTGAGTAAATAATGACTTTTTCATTTAAAAATGAACTATTCCTAGAATTCCCACAGGCCACGATTGACTGCGTATGATGTGGTAGAGATCACATGACACTGGCCACTGCCCTGTTGCTGTTGCCGAGATGATGAACTCTGATAATAAACAATCATCTATATTCATGTTACTATAAGTGCCTTAAACACTTCATATGCTTTGATTATAGATATGTCGAATTGCATGGTATATTGTTTGCTTTGGACTTATGAACTTGCTCTGTAAACACACTGATACATACTAATTGCTTCACATGTTTTTCACTCTGAGCTGTGATTAGCAGAGAGCTGAAATAACTCTCACATTCTACAACACACTTAAATTTCACACCTGACAACTAATTTACACTGAGATGAGAGAGAATGTGTGTGTGTGTGTGTGTGTGTGTGTGAGAGAGAGAGAGAGAGAGAGAGAGAGAGAGAACACACACTTGCATGTACATGTGCACCTCCACAACAGCTGACTGACTGCACAGACACTGGAGGAACATCAGACAGACAGAGATGGGAGAGAAGTGAGGGATACTGAAGGAGGGCAGAACAAGCCAAAGAACGGAAGAAAAAAGCCTTGGAGTGACAGGTCAGTTTTGCTTTTCGTTTGTTATTCTGTTTGACTTTAGTTTCTGAGTAGTTGACAAAAAAACATAAAAATTTGATAATGAATGATATGAAAGTGTATATTTTAGGTGTTGCAACATCATTTTGATTTTTAAAAACCACTTTACCATTTTGCACCCCACTTAAAGTAAATGGTTGTGCTGTGTGAGACTTTAAAGTACAAATAGTTCATTTACTCTCAGTTAATATGACAAAATCTGCATGCATATATTAGAGAAGCAAAAAAAAATTTGTTTTAGTAGCATGTCACTGTTAACTATCAACTATCCATATTGCATAAAGAGTGTTACCCTGATTCATTGGATAGTGTTGCGTGTGAATCAGTGCAGGTTTACAAACTAAGGAAATTAGCATTTATTAAGTAACTTAATGTGTCACTTTTGCATGTGACACTTTGCTATGCAAAAGCAAATAGCTTTGATTGTTTTATAGTGTATATTTAGCTCACACAGAAAGCTTGATCAATACTGTAGATCATTGCTGAAATCGCCTGTTGAAATGCTTCCATTATGTTTTTGTACTTTGCTAAAAATGGATTGATATTCACAGTAACAAAAATGCTTTTTAGTTTAGATTTTTTTTGTTTTATTTTTTATATGCTTTTCTTCTGTTTGTGTATTTTTCCTATGCAATCTGTTCGTATTTGAGATTGTGATTGTAAATGTTTTATTTAATTTTCTGGGGAAAAAAACAGACTGAAGTTTAAACACTGTTCTGCATGAATATAGATGTGAGTTTTGATAAATCCCTTATGTGTGTGTGTTTGTATATATATATATATATATATACACACACACATAAATATTTAAATTTAGGGGCAAAAATTACAGTTCTCCAAAAACTATTTATGGGTTTCATTTCTGTAGTACTCAAAAAAAAAAAAAAAAGGAACAAAAACCAAA